TATAAATAAATACATAAATGAATATATGAATAATTACAGTATATATAATATAATAATACAGTATATATAACTAAATATAGATATATATATATATACAAAAAATATATACAGCACATAAATATATATAAATATATATACAAATAATTATATAAATAAATATACAAAAAAATATACAAATAAATATATAAATGAATATATAAATAATTGTATATATAAATAAATGTATATATAAATATACAAATAAATTTATAAATATATAAATAAATATAAAAATATATAAATAAATATATACAGTATATATAAAATAGTATATATATAAATAAATATATGAATAAATACAGTTTATATATATAAATATATCTGTATGTATGTATATGTATATCTGTATTTTAACAACATCTCTATCAGCGCTGCATACTTTCGGATCGGCGTCCAAAAGTGTATGTACTGCGCATGACTGGACTACACAGGCAAAACTCCCCAGTAGAAAAAAAAGGATTTAAAATGTATGGCTCGCTGGCTCACATGGCTCGCGTATTGGCTTGCATTATTCGCTGGCTCGCACTTTGTCACGACCCAATTGGAAGTGCCACAATGAGCATGTTATGCTACTAGGCAATATATAAGGCATATGAACATAAAGCTAAAAACGCAAATAAGCAACTCTTATGTACGCTGAGATTGGTATTTTTTTATGTGATAGTATGTTTATTTGTAGCGATAAGCATCTGTGCTGTACATGAATATACTCTTATTTAATAAAAATACGATTTATTACATTCTTCATTGATTGTTCATTTTATTCAGCTGTTTAAAAATCCTATTACTGTACACGCTGGTCTTGGTCTCGAAAATTGTGGGTCTTGGTCTTGGTCTCGGACTTCTGGTCTTGTTCTTGGACCTCTCGGCCTTGGTCTTGTTCTCGGGATGTGTGGTCTTGGTCTTGGTCTCGGATGGCCTGGTCTTGACTACAACACTTCTCAATATTCTCTCTATAACAGAAAGTTTCACCAGCCCACGTGTTTTGTTGCGACATCGTAAATGACCTCGAGGACCAAAAATTCCCGAAAAGTAGTTTGTTATTGTTTTGAGCGACGCGATTTCAAACAGAAACAGCATGTTTCAAAATTGTTTATGAGTGAACGTAATTATGAAAATAATTATTTAGACAACCCAAACCATTGCTTGAATGTCGTAGCAAATGTAGTAGGAATCCTAGTAGGAATCCTAGTACAGTACAGCACTGTAGTGAGTATAATTACAAATACTAGGCCTTATTAATTGGGCTAGCATGGGCCCAAGCTAGACAGACTGATATTTTTAAAAGTTACACAACGACTAATACATTTATTAAATAATTTAAATACATATACCACGATAAATTACGTTTGTTGGTAAACCACCAAAATTATATTACGAAAATCAAACCAAGCCGGCTCCGTGGTTCAATTTTGAGTCGAAATTTTTTACGAGGAGACTTGCGAACCATTTCGCGGATACCCCATCTGGGTTGATTTGCTGTCGTGTCGATCGTTTCGGAGATCGTGCGTTGTTCAATAATGGCTTTTGAAAGAATAGAAATTCTTGTTTTAACAAGAACTTGCTTGGTCAAGAAATATGATTTAGGACATTAGATTCTGTATTTAAAAAGTAAAGTTTTGGTTCTTAGGGCTTACCAAGGACCAGCCCATGATGAGCCTAGGTTTCAGGCCACTATTTTTATTTTTACCTCCGTTCTAATAGCCGGCGCAAAAATCGTAATAGACGGAGATTGCGCCG